CATTCTAATACCGAGTACAGTGTTAATCTCAATAATCTTATCACTGATACTAGAAATACCAAGCTCCTTCCACATGTTAAGAACTTTTGTAGATCTGGGACAGCCAAGAATAATCCTAAGAGCTTCATGGGGGGTTTGGCATTACTCAACGGGTCAGAGACGACTTTCTCTATCAATATCAACATGGGAGCAGTAATCAATTAATGATCCTAACAGTGCTATTCATAACCAAGTCACGTTCTCACATTAGAGCACATCAATTGGGGTTGTAAATCCACGCAACAGACTGTTTGTAGAGACATTTAGCCTTAGCTTTGCATTTCTTGTTTAGTTGTGGTATAGTGGATTTGTTAAAGGGTACATCTACACCAAGATATCTGTAAGTTTTAAACGTAGCTAATGATTTCACCCTGCAAATAGATGGGTGGGGGATGTCGTTTGCTTGTTAATATCTTTGTTTTAGAGGAAGATATTATGAGGCCTAGTCGATTACAAATTGCTTGAACTTCTTTAAGAATGGTATTCATCTTCTTATGCCCTGTTGTATGGATCATGATATCATCAGCATAGCTTATAGCTATATGTTTAGGTGAGGCAGGTAGAGCATTTAGGAGAGCATTAATCAGAATATTAAATAGCATGGGACTAAGAACTCCTCCCTGTGGTGTACCTAAAGACATTTCTTTAGAATCACTTCTGAAGCCTTGGTAAAGTTTTAGTTTAATATGTTTATTATGCACCCCATACCCATCCTGTGGGCGGTAGTCAAAAGATTACAGAGGTACATAATTGGCCCAGGGACTGGACTCCAAGGTTTTGATAGCTGAGCAAGTTACAGAGGTAATGAACTCACAATTTACAAAGGTAATGAACTCACAATTTACAAAGGTAATGAACTCCAGGTAGGTCTGGTCACAATCATGACAAGTTACAAAGGTATTTACAGATTACAGAGGTACGTAATGGGTCCAGGGACTGGGCCCCCAAAGTTTTGATAGCTGAACTAGGCACAAAGGTAATGAGCTCACAAGTTACAAAGGTAATGAATTCTGTAAGAATGGTTACTTACGTTTATACATGGCTACAATCATGAACAAATTATAGTGTAATGAGCAATTCACACTTCCACACCCGGTCACAACTGTAGTGAGTTATTGGTGCAAATATTGATTGTTGAGTCACATACATACACACACACACACACACACACACACACACACACACACACACACACACACACACACACACACACACACACACACACACTCACACTCACACACACACACAGGAGAAGGTGAAGAAGCTGCTATGCGAACTTGACACCTCAAAGGCGGTGGGACCAGACATCTCTCCGTGGGTCCTTAAAGAGGGAGCAGAGACATGTGTACCATTAACAAAGATCTTCAACACATCATTTGAAACTGGGCAACTCCCTGAGGTATGGAAGATGGCAAATGTAGTCCCAATTTTTAAAAAGGGAGACAGACATGAGGCACTGAACTACAGACCTGTATCACTAACGTGTATAGTATGCAAGGTCATGGAGAAGATCATCAGGAGGAGAGTGGTGGAGCACCTGGAAAGAAACAAGTGTATAATTGACAACCAGCATGGTTTCAGGGAGGAAAAATCCTGTGTCACAAACCTATTAGAGTTTTATGACAAGGTTACAGAAGTAAGACAAGAGAGAGAGGGGTGGATCGACTGCATTTTTTTGGACTGCAAGAAGGCCTTCGACACAGTTCCTCACAAGAGGTTAATGCAAAAGCTAGAGGATCAGGCACACATAACAGGAAAGGCACTGCAATGGATAAGAGAATACCTTACAGGGAGGCAACAACGAGTCATGGTACGTGACGAGGTGTCAAAGTGGGCGCCTGTGACAAGCGGGGTTCCACAGGGGTCAGTCCTAGGACCTGTGCTGTTCTTGGTATATGTGAATGACATAACGGAAGGGATAGACTCAGAAGTGTCCTTGTTTGCGGACGATGTGAAGTTAATGAGAAGAATCAAATCAAAGTTTATTCTCTATAAGTATTACAATGCTGAGTTTACAGAAATTTGGTTATTGTGTGGTTTACATGTAGTAAAATAGTGATTACAGAGTGTACCACTAGAACGCTTAGCATGGCTAGGCATTTCGGGCAGACTTAGTTTTATTCTTAATTGTAAAATATTACAAATTATGAGGTAAGTTGGTATTATGGCTAAGTGACTAAATACTAGTTTGTGAGTTTAGCAATGTAAATGCTTTTGTTTTGGCACAGTACATAGTTTCAGTATTGGAGTATCACATGATTCATTATTTTAAGATTGAGATTAATATTTCTGTTTATATACACTTACACTCACTCACTCATTTGACCATAAACAGAAATATTAATCTCAGTCTTAAAATAATGAATCCTGTGATACTCCAATACATTATTCATTTTGGCTAGTTCATGTAGTATAACGGTTCTGTTCACAATATCAAATGCAGATTTTAGATCAAGAAAAGTGGTAAAACTAGTAGAGGTGTGTGCAGTGAGAAAGGTGGAAATACAGTTCTGCACACTTTTACCTTTCATGAACCCATAGAGGTAGGGGGAAAGTTGGTGTCTGATTCTGTAGTACAGTCTGTTAAGTATCATTCTTTCAAAAGTTTTACAAAGACAACTAGTTAAGGAGATCGGCCTAAATGTATCAGGCTGTTGGGGCTTAGGGATAGGCACAATGAGACTATTGGTCCAGGAAGTAGGAAGAACGCCCTCAATGTAACTGAGATTATACAGTGCCAACAAAGGGTTATCAGGCACGTGCCTTAGAGTTCTGAGAATATCATAGGTTATACCATCCTCTCCAGGAGCAGTTGATCGACCTTTAGTTAATGCATTATCTAATTCATACTCGGTAAAGAGGCAATCACTCTCATCAATATTTTGGCTCATAAAATTAATCAGTTTCAACATTTCTTCAGAAGTACTCTCTAATTTTTTTCTAATATGAGATGGAAGGTTTTCATGCCTGGATGTTTTGGACCAGTCATTTATGAGGTCATTTGCTTTTTCAAGAGGAAAGGGATGAGCAACATTGCCAGTCTTTTTCCTGGTTATTTTATTTATACCTTTCCAAGCCAAACTTAAAGAGGTGGACCTATTTAATCCACTAACAAACTGTTCCCATTCCTGTTGCCTAAGCTAAATGCTCTCAAAGCTGTTGCTGGCTACAAACCCAACTATGGTGCTAATGTGAGAATCGTGAGAATGATGTACATAGCCTATGTTAGGTCCTTAATTGATTATGCTGCTCCCATGTTGATATTAGCTAGAGAAAGTTCTCTCTGACCCTTGGAGTTAATGCAAAATGAAGCTCTTAGAATTATTCTTGGTTGTCCCAAATCTAAAAAGGTTCTTAATATGAGGAAGGAGCTTGGTATTTCTAGTATCAGTGATAGGATTGTTGAGATTAAGACTGTACTCGGTATTAGAATGTTAAGAAATGAACCAGACACTGTCACAATGAACCTTACTAAGTGTCTAGAAGTAAATACACACAGATCTAAATGGATTGTGAAAACGTGCAATTGCATTAAGTTTTGTAACCTGCATGAACTGTATCACTGCAGGCAACAAGAGCATTTCACCCCTCCATGGAAGGTGTGTTCATTTAATATCACATATCTGCAAGTCCCTCCCAAGAAGCTCATTGCTAGTAATCCCTTCCTTAAATCATTTGCTAAAGCAACTGCTCAAGAAGAAATTTCTCTCCTAGCTGGTAGTAATAAGTTATCATAAGTAATATACACGGATGGATCTAAACAGGAGTCTTCTAGCAAGGCTGCATCTGCTCTTGTTGCCACCTCCCTAGCCATGAACGATAATAAACTTGTTGAACTAGGCATAAGAATTAACAACTGGGCGTCTACACTGCAAACTGAACTGTTTGCAATCCTAATGGCGCTAAAGCTAACTTATGACACTGAGCTTGACTCTATCATCATTACTGATTATATGTCATCACTGAATGCTCTTAACTCATGTAATGACTCCAACAACATGCTCATTGGAGAAACCAGGTATAGATTCTCAAATCAGGGACAAAGGAATTAATGTACAATTGCTATGGATCCCATCACACATTGGATTACTCCTTCATGATAAAGTTATGTTAGCCAAGAAGAGTACCCAGGAGAATGTAGAATATAACTTTGGTATATCTGTGTCTAGCATTAGGAATAATATTAGGAGAGAAGTAAATAATGAAAATGATTGTTATAGGAATGCAGTTAGAAGCCTGAGTAGATCTATAACCCACTCTGATAACATGAACATAGATAAGTATGTTTATGGAGCAACTTGCAATGTGAACAAACTGACTGATGTTGTAGTGGCCAGGCTTAGGCTTGGTTACAAGTACTTCTGGCAGTTTGGGAGACACACAGATGATGATCATACTAAATGTAAATTATGTGATCAGGCATATGGTCAATGTCTTGAACACTATGTGCTTAATTGTCCACTTACTGAGGAATACAGCGATGAACAATATAATAACCTACGTGACATGTCAATATATCTTATTAATGAAAATAAGATACCAGATACACTAAGCAAATTTCCTAAATTTGCTTGTAACAGATAATTGAACTATAGATATGTAGATATAAATTCATATGTATTTCTGCTAACCATTTGGGGCCTAGTTCCTAGGCCTTTTGTGTATCCATATGTTCTTGCTCTACCGTCCACAGGATGGATATGGGGTGCACAATAAACTAGCCACTTCGGTGGCAAACTCTAATTTCGTATATTACAATTTCTTCCTATAACTAATGAACATAGTACAATATAGAGTTAATCTGAAAAAAAATTAAGGATGCCACACCTTTATGACCATAGCAGTGCCATGTGACCCTTGTGGGTTTAGTGCTTATTTTGATTATAATCATAATAATAATAATAATAATGTACGACCCATATGGATGTAACACTTGTATTCGAATGAAATAATAATTTAAATTCAGGATTCACATGATTTTTTTTATTAAGTTAAATTTCATGGTGTGTTTTACATTACCGACTGCGACTGCGACTGCGACTGCGACAAGCAGCATTAAGCTATGCTGAGGATGGCAGTATCGCCTGCATACCCAGTAGGTTTAGAGCATACTTTGGCTGGAAGAAGCAGATTCCATAAATTATAACTCCTAGGACACTACAACAGCAGAAGACTTGTATGGATAACTCAGCTGTGTATGTGAAGGAGACAACTGAGAGAAGAGAAAGCTTTGATGCTGATGAAGAGTTACTACTCTAAGAAACTAGTTACCTTTCCTTGCCTCTGACCATACCTGTTTGGAGCTTCAATATGAAATCATAAAAATAAGAGAAACCCATTAATAACATCCACAGAGGGGAACAGAGCTTGGAAATACTTAATCTTCACATAAATCTATGTAATTTTGTCTTCTGAGGAAGTAGCTGACTCTAAGTGAACTGGAGGTGTCACTGGACCCGTTGACGAGCTCTGCATTGGCATAACTCTTCTCTCCTACACTCTTAATACTCTTCAGATCGATCTCCTCGTACAGGTGCTCCGGGCTTGGGGTCTCCAGACGTATATCAAGGCTGTTGGGGCGAGCGTGGAGCTTGCTGGCTGGATGGGGAACTATGGGCTCCATGTAGGAAGGTGTGGAAGTCACAGGCACTGCTGGTCTAGGTGAATGGTACTGCCTGTTGGCCTGCTGGCATCCATGCTACGTGGAAGGTGAAACAATGTTATTGAGTGTGTGTAAACTGTAATAAACGGATTAAATTTAGTTTTCTTGTTTACTCTTCCTTGCACACTAAGACAATATGTGAAAGTAATTAGTTGAGAAACGTGGCCAGGAGTTTAGACTCATCCTTTACTAACACCAAGGGGCAGAGTTGCATGCTCCTGGTGTCTCGTTTTCAATGTTTAATCTGCCATATATATTATTTATTTCTAGTGGTTGTTAAGTATAATTAAACATGTAAGATTCCTTGTAAGGGGAGTTCCTTGATGTCGTGAAGGGCTCTCGATCCAAGGAATTGGAGTACCTCTTTCCTTCCTTGCATTAAACCTATTTACTTTCCTTTCACCAGACAATCTATAAGCCCTTACTAATTTAGAGCTTCCCTCTACCTGCACTACTAGCACCCGTCAAGGGAGGTTCCTTAATGCTGGTGAAGGGCTCTTGATCTGGGGAATTGGGTCTGTGCTCCAATTCCCTGAATGCCTTCCATTCCCCCAGGCGCTGTATAATCCCTACGGGTTTAGCGCTCCCCGTGATTATAATTATAATATGGGCTTAGCGTTCCCCATAATAATAATAATGTACTACTAGCAATAACAGGTGTGTAAAGTGTGCAGTACTAACTTTGCAAGTGACATAAGTAATAAGCAGCAGCAAGATGAGGCAGGAGACGACAGCTGCTGTTAGTGTGCTCACTGCTGCTCTCCACGACATACACCACTGATCATCTTCAACATCTATGGATCATGTGAAATAAGATACAGTGTAGTGTTAAGGTATTTTACTGAGGAAATGTTTCACCACAAATGGCTTCTTCGCAACTGTCTTATTTAGGTTATGTAAGGTAAGGTTTGTCAGGAAAGAGGACGAGCGTTTCCTGCCGCGGGTGTTAGTCATATGATGACCCTCAGCTGGAGCTTTTGGTCATCTGACAGAGGCCTTCTGCTGGCTTGCCGTTCCACCCCTTTAAAAATTATGGTCATCAGTATAATCATTAGATATTGTTTTATTTTACAGTTGTCGGTATTTTATACCATCTCTTACCCCTATGGATGACCATGTCTAGTATTGTTTGACCATGTCTTACCCCCTATGGATGACCATGTCTAGTATTGTTTGACCATGTCTTACCCCCTATGGATGACCATGTCTAGTATTGTTTGACCATGTCTTACCCCCTATGGATGACCATGTCTAGTATTGTTTGACCATGTCTTACCACCTATGGATGACCATGTCTAGTATTGTTTGACCATGTCTTACCCCTTATGGATGACCATGTCTTACCCCCTAAGGATGACCATGTCTTACCCCCTATGGATGACCATGTCTAGTATTGTTTGACCATGTCTTACCCCCTATGGATGACCATGTCTAGTATTGTTTGACCATGTCTTACCACCTATGGATGACCATGTCTAGTATTGTTTGACCATGTCTTACCCCCTATGGATGACCATGTCTAGTATTGTTTGACCATGTCTTAAGCCTTATGGATGACCATGTCTTACCCCCTAAGGATGACCATGTCTTACCCCCTATGGATGACCATGTCTAGTATTGTTTGACCATGTCTTATCCCCTATGGATGACCATGTCTAGTATTGTTTGACAATGTCTTACCCCCTATGGATGACCATGTCTAGTATTGTTTGACCATGTCTTACCCCCTATGGATGACCATGTCTAGTATTGTTTGATCATGTCTTACCCCCTATGGATGACCATGTCTAGTATTGTTTGACCATGTCTTACCCCTATGGATGACCATGTCTAGTATTGTTTGACCATGTCTTACCCCCTATGGATGACCATGTCTTACCCCCTATGGATGGCCATGTCTTACCCCCAATGGATGACCATGTCTTACCCCCTATGGATGACCATGTCTAGTATTGTTTGATCATGTCTTACCCCCTATGGATGACCATGTCTAGTATTGTTTGACCATGTCTTACCCCCTATGGATGACCATGTCTAGTATTGTTTGACCATGTCTAACCCCCTATGGATGACCATGTCTAGTATTGTTTGACCATGTCTTACCCACCTATGGATGACCATGTCTAGTACTGTATGACCATGTCTTACCCCTATGGATGACCATGTCTTACCCCCTATGGATGACCATGTCTTACCCCCTATGGATGACCATGTCTTACCCCCTATGGATGACCATGTCTAGTATTGTTTGACCATGTCTTACCCCCTATGGATGACCATGTCTAGTATTGTTTGACCATGTCTTACCCCTATGGATGACCATGTCTAGTATTGTTTGACCATGTCTTACCCCCTATGGATGACCATGTCTAGTATTGTTTGCCCATGCCTTACCCCCTATGGATGACCATGTCTAGTATTGTTTGACCATGTCTTACCCCCTATGGATGACCATGTCTAGTATTGTTTGACCATGTCTTACCCCCTATGGATGACCATGTCTAGTATTGTTTGACCATGTCTTACCCCCTATGGATGACCATGTCTATATTGTTTGACCATGTCTTACCCCTATGGATGACCATGTCTGTATTGTTTGACCATGTCTTACCCCCTATGGATGACCATGTCTTACCCCCTATGGATGACCATGTCTAGTATTGTTTGACCATGTCTTACCCCCTATGGATGACCATGTCTAGTATTGTTTGACCATGTCTTACCCACCTATGGATGACCATGTCTTGTATTGTTTGACCATGTCTTACCCCCTATGGATGACCATGTCTTACCCCCTATGGATGACCATGTCTTACCCCCTATGGATGACCATGTCTTACCCCTATGGATGACCATGTCTAGTATTGTTTGACCATGTCTTTACCCCCTATGGATGACCATGTCTAGTATTGTTTGACCATGTCTTACCCCCTATGGATGACCATGTCTAGTATTGTTTGACCATGTCTTACCCCCTATGGATGACCATGTCTAGTATTGTTTGACCATGTCTTACCCCCTATGGATGACCATGTCTAGTATTGTTTGACCATGTCTTACCCCCTATGGATGACCATGTCTAGTATTGTTTGACCATGTCTTACCCCCTATGGATGACCATGTCTTACCCCCTATGGATGACCATGTCTAGTATTGTTTGACCATGTCTTACCCCCTATGGATGACCATGTCTAGTATTGTTTGACCATGTCTTACCCACCTATGGATGACCATGTCTTGTATTGTTTGACCATGTCTTACCCCCTATGGATGACCATGTCTTACCCCCTATGGATGACCATATCTTACCCCCTATGGATGACCATGTCTTACCCCCTATGGATGACCATGTCTTACCCCCTATGGATGACCATGTCTAGTATTGTTTGACCATGTCTTACCCCCTATGGATGACCATGTCTAGTATTGTTTGACCATAATCTTACCCCCTATGGATGACCATGTCTAGTATTGTTTGACCATGTCTTACCCCCTATGGATGACTAATGTCTAGTATTGTTTGACCATGTCTTACCCCTATGGATGACCATGTCTAGTATTGTTTGACCATGTCTTACCCCCTATGGATGACCATGTCTAGTATTGTTTTGACCATGTCTTACCCCCTATGGATGACCATGTCTAGTATTGTTTGACCATGTCTTACCCACCTATGGATGACCATGTCTTGTATTGTTTGACCATGTCTTACCCCCTATGGATGACCATGTCTTACCCCCTATGGATGACCATGTCTTACCCCCTATGGATGACCATGTCTTACCCCCTATGGATGACCATGTCTTACCCCCTATGGATGACCATGTCTAGTATTGTTTGACCATGTCTTACCCCCTATGGATGACCATGTCTAGTATTGTTTGACCATGTCTTACCCACCTATGGATGACCATGTCTTGTATTGTTTGACCATGTCTTACCCCCTATGGATGACCATGTCTTACCCCCTATGGATGACCATGTCTTACCCCTATGGATGACCATGTCTTACCCCCTATGGATGACCATGTCTTACCCCCTATGGATGACCATGTCTTACCCCCTATGGATGACCATGTCTAGTATTGTTTGACCATGTCTTACCCCCTATGGATGACCATGTCTAGTATTGTTTGACCATGTCTTACCCCTATGGATGACCATGTCTAGTATTGTTTGACCATGTCTTACCCCTATGATGACCATGTCTAGTATTGTTTGACCATGTCTTACCCCCTATGGATGACCATGTCTAGTATTGTTTGACCATGTCTTACCCCCTATGGATGACCATGTCTTACCCCCTATGGATGACCATGTCTAGTATTGTTTGACCATGTCTTACCCCCTATGGATGACCATGTCTAGTATTGTTTGACCATGTCTTACCCACCTATGGATGACCATGTCTAGTATTGTTTGACCATGTCTTACCCCTATGGATGACCATGTCTTACCCCCTATGGATGACCATGTCTTACCCCCTATGGATGACCATGTCTTACCCCCTATGGATGACCATGTCTTACCCCCTATGGATGACCATGTCTAGTATTGTTTGACCATGTCTTACCCCCTATGGATGACCATGTCTAGTATTGTTTGACCATATCTTACCCCCTATGGATGACCATGTCTAGTATTGTTGACCATGTCTTACCCCTATGGATGACTATGTCTAGTATTGTTTGACCATGTCTTACCCCCTATGGATGACCATGTCTAGTATTGTTTGACCATGTCTTACCCCCTATGGATGACCATGTCTAGTATTGTTTGACCATGTCTTACCCCCTATGGATGACCATGTCTAGTATTGTTTGACCATGTCTTACCCACCTATGGATGACCATGTCTAGTATTCTCTGACCATTTCTTACCCACCTATGGATGACCATGTCTAGTATTCTCTGACCATGTCTTACCCACCTATGGATGACCATGTCTAGTATTCTCTGACCATGTCTTACCCACCTATGGATGACCATGTCTAGTATTCTCTGACCATTTCTTACCCACCTATGGATGACCATGTCTAGTATTCTCTGACCATGTCTTACCCACCTATGGATGACCATGTCTAGTATTCTCTGACCATGTCTTACCCACCTATGGATGACCATGTCTAGTATTCTCTGACCATGTCTTACCCACCTATGGATGACCATGTCTAGTATTCTCTGACCATGTCTTACCACCTATGGATGACCATGTCTAGTATTCTCTGACCATGTCTTACCCACCTATGGATGACCATGTCTAGTATTCTCTGACCATGTCTTACCCACCTATGGATGACCATGTCCATTATTCTCTGACCATGTCTTACCCACCTATGGATTGACCATGTCTAGTATTCTCTGACCATGTCTTACCCACCTATGGATGACCATGTCTAGTATTCTCTGACCATGTCTTACCCACCTATGGATGACCATGTCTAGTATTCTCTGACCATGTCTTACCCACCTATGATGACCATGTCTAGTATTCTCTGACCATTTCTTACCCACCTATGGATGACCATGTCTAGTATTCTCTGACCATGTCTTACCCACCTATGGATGACCATGTCTAGTATTCTCTGACCATGTCTTACCCACCTATGGATGACCATGTCTAGTATTCTCTGACCATGTCTTAACCCACCTATGGATGACCATGTCTAGTATTCTCTGACCATGTCTTACCCACCTATGATGACCATGTCTAGTATTCTCTGACCATGTCTTACCCACCTATGGATGACCATGTCTAGTATTCTCTGACCATGTCTTACCCACCTATGGATGACCATGTCTAGTATTCTCTGACCATGTCTTACCCACCTATGGATGACCATGTCTAGTATTCTCTGACCATGTCTTACCCACCTATGATGACCATGTCTAGTTATTCTCTGACCATGTCTTACCCACCTATGGATGACCATGTCCAGTATTCTCTGACCATGTCTTACCCACCTATGGATGACCATGTCTAGTATTCTCTGACCATGTCTTACCCACCTATGGATGACCATGTCTAGTATTCTCTGACCATGTCTTACCCACCTATGGATGACCATGTCTAGTATTCTCTGACCTTGTCTTAACCCACCTATGGATGACCATGTCTAGTATTCTCTGACCATGTCTTACCCACCTATGGATGACCATGTCTAGTATTCTCTGACCATGTCTTACCCACCTATGGATGACCATGTCCAGTATTCTCTGACCATGTCTTACCCACCTATGGATGACCATGTCTAGTATTCTCTGACCATGTCTTACCCACCTATGGATGACCATGTCTAGTATTCTCTGACCATGTCTTACCCACCTATGGATGACCATGTCTAGTATTCTCTGACCATGTCTTACCCACCTATGGATGACCATGTCCAGTATTCTCTGACCATGTCTTACCCACCTATGGATGACCATGTCTAGTATTCTCTGACCATGTCTTACCCACCTATGGATGACCATGTCTAGTATTCTCTGACCATGTCTTACCCACCTATGGATGACCATGTCTAGTATTCTCTGACCATGTCTTTACCCACCTATGGATGACCATGTCTAGTATTCTCTGACCATGTCTTACCCACCTATGATGACCATGTCTAGTATTCTCTGACCATGTCTTACCCACCTATGGATGACCATGTCTAGTATTCTCTGACCATGTCTTACCCACCTATGGATGACCATGTCCAGTATTCTCTGACCATCATGTATTCCTTCCCTCACTTCTAATCGTCATTTTTAAGGTGTATGTGTTTATTGTATACGTAGATATTATACATAAACCTTCACGTGAAGCTCCAAACCCGCGTGAGAAATTCAATGGAACGAGTGGTGTAGGCTCGATCCTTCGTCCGCTGATTACGATAGTCACACTGCCCTCCATATGATTTAATTTCAAGTAACTAAAACAAAACTTTGCCGATCTAGTTTGCATGGTCATTATTTTTTGTCACAATCCTTATTATGATCGACCATAATTTTGTCAGAGAGGCTGGCATCTGACTGGTTGAACACAGCTTTTGTTCATGTAAAAGCTAATGTATGATTGTATGAATACAACTCTTGACTATATAAAAGTTTCAAATGAGCTGATGTAGGTAACAGCTCTTAGCTTGCCAATAAAGTTAGGAATCCTTAACCTGTAAATAGCTTGTCAATAAAGCTAGGGATCCTTAACCTAACCTTGTCAAACCCTGTGTAAAAAAAAAAAAAAAAAAAAAAAACCAGCTCTTGACCATCTCACCAGTTTACTCTTGACGAAGGTAAGTACAATTATCATATATAATGTAAATTACCAAAAAAGTCAAAGTGGTAAATGTTCGTACGAACATTTCTGGTAATTGTTACAATCTCACTTACCTTCAAGGGAAGGGACCTGAATGCTAGTGAAGAGTTCTTGTTCATAGGAACTCGAATTACCATCCTCTTACTCGGCTCAAATCTTACTCTTATTCTCCAGGCGCTGCATGACCCCTATGGGCTCAGCTCTTCGCAATACAAATTCACTTGTGCAGCAGTCACATATGTTGAAGAGTAACATAGTTTATCTGATGTTCATTTTTTTTAAGAAACAATAAGAGAAAACTGGATTTCTATGATATATATATCTTTCATTCAACACACCGGCCGTATCCCACCGAGGCGGGGTGGCCCAAAAGGAAAAACGAAAGTTTCTCCTTTTACATTTAGTAATACATACAGGAGAAGAGGTTACTAGCCCCTTGCTCCCGGCATTTTAGTCGCCTCTTACAACACGCATGGCTTACGGAGGAAGAATTCTGTTCCACTTCCCCATGGAGATAAGAGGAAATAAACAAGAATAAGAACTAGAAAGAAAATAGAAGAAAACCCAGAGGGGTGTGTATATATGTGCTTGTACATGTATGTGTAGTGTGACCTAAGTGTAAGTAGAAGTAGCAAGACGTACCTGAAATCTTGCATGTTCATGAGACAGAAAAAAGGACACCAGCAATCCTACCATCATGTTAAAACAATTACAGGCTTTCGTTTTACACTCACTTGGCAGGACGGTAGTACCTCCCTGGGCGGTTGCTGTCTACCAACCTACTACTATATATATATATATATATATATATATATATATATATATATATATATATATATATATATATATTATATATATATATATATATATATATATATATATATATATATATATATATATATAGTATTGTAACCACGAACGAGTGGTATTTAAGAATAACAACACTGCGACTAGCCGAGGATTCGAACCCGTGTTGTTTTGGCCCGCCTCATGGTGAGCCATATGCAAAACAACCACGGGGTGAGTAGAATGATAGCTCTAGGCCTTACTTGTTGCAATCAACAAATCATCAGAAGCTTGCAAAGTTACAGAAAAAAGGAGGATGTCCGAGCCAACACAATCCTAGAGGATGTATTCACTGGAGTGAGGGAGGGAGAGAGAAAAAGCGAAGGGAACAGGAAATGCTCACAGGCATAACAGTACCCATAGCCAGAATATTATATGAAAAGAAAAATCCCACGAATACTGACACATTGTAATAGTAGCCTAAATGAAAGTTTTGCATCCTGGTTGTTTTGCATCCTGTATCGCTTGGTTTGTGATTATTTGCTGTTACTGCTGGCCGCACACAAACCGACTTGTGAGCCACAACCCGGCGGTCAGGTGCAGACTTTAGTTGCCTGTCCAGCTCCTTCTTGAAGACTGCCAGGGGTGTATTGGTAATCCCCCCTATGTATGCTGGGAAGCAGTTAAGCAATCTTGGGCCCCTGACACCTGTGTTGTTTCTTAGCGTACTCAAGGCGCCCCTACTCTTCACTGGGGGGATGTTGAACTGCTTGCCGAGTCTTTTGCTTTCGTAGGGAGCGATTTCCGTATGTAGATTTGGGACTAGTCCCTCTAGATTCTCCAAGTGTATATTATGATGTATCTTTCTCGCCTGCATTCCAAGAAGTACAGGATAAGGGACTTCAACCGTTCCTAGTAACTGAGGTGCTTTATTGTACGTATATGTGTAATGAAATTTTTCTGTATATTCTCCAGGTCTGCAATTTTCGCATGCCTTGAAAGGAGTCGTTAGTGTACTGATGTACGAGAACCTAATGCACATCATGTTAACTACACATCTGATCCCTCGGAGGAAGGTCCTTGATGCAGGTGAGGGGCTCTTGATATAAAGAATTACATCTGTCCTCCTCTACTCTCTTGAACACTATGTGCTTAATTGTCCACTTATTGAAGAATACAGAGACAGACAGTATAATAACCTATGTGACATGTCAAGATATCTTATTAATGAAAATAAGATACCAGATATACTAAGCAAATTTCCTAAATATGCTTGTAACAGATAAGTGAACTATAGATATGTAGATATAAATCCATATGTATTCCTGTTAACCCTTTGGGGCCTAGTTCCTAGGCCTTTTGTGTATCCATATGCTCTCGCGCTACCGTCCACAGGATGGATATGGGGTGCACAATAAACTAGCCACTTCGGTGGCAAAATCTAATCTAATCTCGGATCGAACCTGACTGCTTCCCATTCCCTCAGGCGCAATGTGATCCCTTCAGGGACACAAGTGTTTCACCCGGATTAAAAGAAAATTCCACAATTTCTAGATATACTTGCCTGGGATGGTGTGAAGGTGTTGCACCAGCAGGAAGATGTCATTCTTTCGCCCCCATATCCTCACTTTGCTGGGGTAAGAGGCCAGCTTAGTCTCCAACAGCTGCTCCCCTTCACTCTCGATCTGCAACACCAACAACAGTCTCACTGCAACTCTGGTATCCCTCTGCAGTAGTCACCAATATCCCTCTCTGCATCGCTCGCCAATATTTATCTGTAACAGTCGTCAATATCCCCTCTGTGCACAACAATCACCAATATCCCTCTCTAAAATGCAATATTCCTCTACAGCACAACTACCAATATTCCTCTGTTACACAATAATACCACTGCAGCACAATCAACAACCCCCCCTCTCTGCAGCAGTCAACAACCTCCCTCTCTACAGCAGTCAACAACCTCCCTCTCTACAGCAGTCAACAACCTCCCTCTCTGCAGCAGTCAACAACCTCCCTCTCTGCAGCAGTCAACAACCCCCCCTCTCTGCAGCAGCCAACAAACTCCCTCTCTACAGCAGCCAACAACCTCCCTCTCTACAGCAGTCAACAACCTCCCTCTCTGCAGCAGTCAACAACCTCCCTCTCTGCAGCAGTCAACAACCTCCCTCTCTACAGCAGCCAACAACCTCCCTCTCTACAGCAGTCAACAACCTCCCTCTCTACAGCAGCCAACAACCTCCCTCTCTACAGCAGTCAACAACCTCCCTCTCTACAGCAGTCAACAACCTCCCTCTCTGCAGCAGTCAACAACCTCCCTCTCTACAGCAGTCAACAACCTCCCTCTCTACAGCAGTCAACAACCTCCCTCTCTGCAGCAGTCAACAACCCCCCCTCTCTGCAGCAGCCAACAAACTCCCTCTCTACAGCAGTCAACAACCTCCCTCTCTACAGCAGTCAACAACCTCCCTCTCTACAGCAGCCAACAACCTCCCTCTCTACAGCAGTCAACAACCTCCCTCTCTACAGCAGCCAACAACCTCCCTCTCTACAGCAGTCAACAACCTCCCTCTCTACAGCAGTCAACAACCTCCCTCTCTGCAGCAGTCAACAACCTCCCTCTCTACAGCAGCCAACAATCTCCCTCTCTACAGCAGTCAACAACCTCCCTCTCTACAGCAGTCAACAACCTCCCTCTCTACAGCAGTCAACAACCTCCCTCTCTACAGCAGTCAACAACCTCCCTCTCTACAGCAGTCAACAACCTCCCTCTCTGCAGCAGTCAACAACCTCCCTCTCTGCAGCAGTCAACAACCTCCCTCTCTGCAGCAGCCAACAACCTCCCTCTCTACAGCAGTCAACAACTTCCCTCTCTACAGCAGTCAACAACCTCCCTCTCTGCAGCAGTCAACAACCTCCCTCTCTGCAGCAGTCAACAACCCCCCCTCTCTGCAGCAGCCAACAACCTCCCTCTCTACAGCAGTCAACAACCTCCCTCTCTACAGCAGTCAACAACCTCCCTCTCTACAGCAGTCAACAACCTCCCTCTCTACAGCAGTCAACAACCTCCCTCTCTGCAGCAGTCAACAACCTCCCTCTCTGCAGGAGTCAACAAAGTCCCTCTCTACAGCAGTCAACAACCTCCCTCTCTACAGCAGTCAACAACCTCCCTCTCTGCAGCAGTCAACAACCTCCCTCTCTGCAGCAGTCAACAACCTCCCTCTCTACAGCAGTCAACAACCTCCCTCTCTACAGCAGTCAACAACCTCCCTCTCTGCAGCAGTCAACAACCTCCCTCTCTACAGCAGTCAACAACCTCCCTCTCTACAGCAGTCAACAACCTCCCTCTCTACAGCAGTCAACAACCTCCCTCTCTACAGCAGTCAACAACCTCCCTCTCTACAGCAGTCAACAACCTCCCTCTCTACAGCAGTCAACAACCTCCCTCTCTGCAGCAGTCAACAACCTCCCTCTCTACAGCAGTCAACAACCTCCCTCTCTACAGCAGTCAACAACCTCCCTCTCTACAGCAGTCAACAACCTCCCTCTCTACAGCAGTCAACAACCTCCCTCTCTGCAGCAGTCAACAACCTCCCTCTCTACAGCAGTCAACAACCTCCCTCTCTGCAGCAGTCAACAACCTCCCTCTCTGCAGCAGTCAACAACCTCCCTCTCTGCAGCAGTCAACAACCTCCCTCTCTACAGCAGTCAACAACCTCCCTCTCTACAGCAGTCAACAACCTCCCTGTCTGCAACAATAATTGTTTTGTTCGTTCTTTGCACAAATATGATCCCTTACTTCCTTCAAGAGTGCCTTGGTGCTGCCGAAGGGCACTTCATCCAGGGAATATGAGGCACAATTCCCTTCGGATCACACCTAATTGCCTCCTTCTTTCCTCAGGCGCTGTATGACTCCTACGGGTTTAGCGCTCCCCACAGGGGTGACTCCAAAGTTGTATATTTGAGGGACTTAGGGGTGGCAGCCTGGTTCGAAGGTGGGGCAAGGGCACTTGTCTTGAAGCATTATTATTATTATTATTATTATTATTATTATTATTATTATTATTATTATTATTATTATTATTTGTCGAGCTGGTGGAATTTTTGAGGAGCTTCAGCTCCCCTTGCCCTGTTCCCTTTGGCGTCGCCACTTACTCCTCACTTAAATGTAATAATCAATTTGATCCGAGGAAGGAAAGGGTAACTCCTCTGATCAACTTCAAGGTGTGTCATCCTTGAAGGATGTGCTTACCTTGAACGTTGTCTGCTGGTCGAGGGAGAGAAAGATGAGTGCAAGACGGTGGTGACCAGGTGGTAGTGGGTCAGCCGTGAGCCCGGACACCATCACCAGCGACCCCTCACGCACTCCCAGCTGGAACTCTACCCCACACACGTTGAAGAATGGCTTGTACTTCTTCGTGGAAAACAAAGTCAAGTCTATACGCTTCTCCTTTGCACCTGAAGTCAGAGAAACTATGTCAGCGTCCACGAGAACATCAACAGCTTGACTGCCGTTCATTAGCCAAGCTGGAGTATTGGATGCACACTGTCGGGTGAAGTTACCATTCTGGATTTTTAATTTTGATATGATACAGTCTAGAGGCGTGGGGCCCGGTAACCAGCTCACATTGTTGCTGTCATATAGAGAGAGGTTGTTCATAAATCCTAAACGGAACCTGGTCCAACCGATGATTGTGTTAGGGGTAGAATACGTAGGTGAGTTGAGGTTCTCATCATGCGGTAGTCTACGCAGTGACACACTGCTGGAGGTTACGTTGAGGTAGTCAAATTGGCTTATATCTTCACAGAAGATGGTTGCTGTCAAGCTATGTTCTTCTGGACGAGCCAGGCTCAGGAACTCCAGTGTGTCGAATATTATCTGTGTCACCTCTATTGTATTTCGCACCAGACAGTCTGCAGAACACAACACTGCTTATGAGTAAATAACTCTCGAGAGAACAGTGGTTAAAATTGTTAAATATTATAAACAAAATGAAGAGGTTAAAAAGGTAAAAAAAAAAAGCCATTCTTTTGGAATGGCTTCCAAAGAATGGCTTATTTTTAAAAGATTAAAAAGGTAAAAAAGAAAGAAGCCATTCTTTGGAATAACATTAACAAGAATATGCAATTACTTGCTCATTTGAAGTACAAACCCTCAGTTATTGAGGCCTGATCGAAAGATATAATTTAGAAAGGAGGAGGACAGGTTGTTGAAATTGGTGTGGCCCGGTGGTCTGGTGGCTAAAGCTCCCGCTTCACACACGGAGGGCCCGGGTTCGATTCCCGGCGGGTGGAAATTCCAACACGTTTCCTTACACCTATTGTCCTGTTCACCTAGCAGCAAATAGGTACCTGGGTGTTAGTCGACTGGTGTGGGTCGCATCCTGGGGGACAAGATTAAGGACCCCAATGGAAATAAGTTAGACAGTCCTCGATGACGCACTGACTTTCTTGGGTTATCCTGGGTGGCTAACCCTCCGGGGTTAAAAATCCGAACGAAATCTTATCTCTTATCTCAAAAATGATAGAGCAAAATAGGTTGACAAAAAAATTTATAAATATGCGGTAGATGGAAGTTGCAGGGAACGTCGGATAAAGGGATGGGAGGAAGGTGTGAAGGGTGTTTTATGCGGTAGGAGTTTGAGTATATTCAGCAAATATGTGTGAGTGTGTTAAATCTAAGTGATAGGCAAGTAGTTTTTGGGATTTGACGGGCTGTAGGAGTTTGAGCAAGGTAATATCTATGAAGGAATTCAAGGAGTTCTGTAGGTAGTAACTGCAGTGCCCGCACTCTGAAGAATAAGTGGAGATGTTCTGGGTCGAAGAGTCATTTGAACTGTAATGTCCTTGCACTTTAGTCCACACAGGTATTGAATGAGTCATGGTAAATGTTTTTCTTTATCTGAGTTGCCCTACTTCAGTGGGAAATCGAGTATTAGGTAAAAAAAATTAAAATGTAGTAATGTCTTAAACACTGTGTAAGTATGAAAGTGGCTGGGATGTTACTCTCGATCCCCTTCAGCAAACAGCTGATTCAGCCAATTTGTAAGTGTGACTTGTATAAGTTGTTTGCAAAGAATATGGCTGCTTACCCTTTCCTTGTCATGTATTAATTTGCACTGTACAGACTTATATAATATTACAAAATAAGGCGAAGTTATAACGTTTATGGAAGATTACGTATATTATGTTTTACCTTCTTGTATCTCGAATGCTGCCACAAGACACACTGAGGTGAGAAACGAAAGAAGAATCCTCGAGCACCTGGTCGCCATCCTGGGCTTCTCTGTGTATGTTGAAAAGAACCTACGCCACCTAGCACCTTCCTGGCTGTCTGCCACGATGCTCCTCTGTTATCACAAACAGAAACAGGAAGAAATACTTCTAATCTCTGAAATTCCGAATGCTATTTGAAGCTCATCCGGGAAACTCAAGATTAGATCTGGTTTGCAGGCACTGTTGCTCGCACCCACTGATCTCTGTTCTGGCTGAATATCATACATGCTTCTACAAACTTTCTTAAATATAATAGCAATTCCAAGTTACAACCAACTTCGTAATATTTTTTAATTCTGAAAATAAAAAAAAATAATCTAGATTTTCTCGTTAGTTTAATATGTTTATTATGCACCCCATACCCATCCTGTGGGCGGTAGTCAAAAGATTACAGAGGTACATAATTGGTCCAGGGACTGGACCCCAAAGTTTTGATAGCTGTGTATTGACTTTGATGTACAGGTGTCCCGTGGCTTGGTTGGCAGCACACAGTCTCCGTGGTTCAATCCCCGGCTTGAGTGGAAACGTTGGGCATGTTTCCTTACACCCGTTGTCTCTGTTCACTAAGCGGTAAGTAGGTACCTGAGTACTCACCTAATTGTGGTTGCAGGGGTCGATTCATAGCTCCTGACCCCGCCTTTTTGCTGGCCGCTGCTAGGTCACTCCCCCTGCTCCATGAGGTTTATCATACCTCTTCTTAAAGCTATGTATGGATCCTGCCTCTACTACATCACTTTAAAGACTATTCCACTTCCTGACAACTCTGTGACTGAAGAAGTACTTCCTAACATCCTTTTGATTCATCTGAGTCTTTAACTTCCAACTGTAACCCCTTGTTGCTGTATCCCATCTCCGTAACATCCTGTCTCTGCCCACCTTGCCGATTCCTCTCAGTATTTTATATGTCGTTTATCATGTCCTCCCTTAGTCGGCTGGTGTGGGTCGCATCCTGGTGGAACAATACTGGTGGACCACAATGGTAATAAGGCAGACAGTCCTGGATGACGAACTGTCTTTTTTGGGTTATCCTGGGTAGCTAACCCTCCGGGTTAAAAATCGGGATTTTTTTTTTATCTACTGACCTCTGGTGTACTGATCTTTGGTGTACTGACCTCTGGTGTATTCGCCTCTGGTGTCCTGATCCCTAGTGTACTTCCTCTGACCTCTGGTGTACCGATCTTTGGTGTACTGACCTCTGGTATACTGCCTTCTGGAATATCGACCTTTGGTGTTTACCTGGAGTTTACCTGGAGAGAGTTCCGGGGGTCAACGCCCCCGCGGCCCGGTCTGTGACCAGGCCTCCTGGTGGATCAGAGCCTGATCAACCAGGCTGTTGCTGCTGGCTGCACGCAAACCAACGTACGAGCCACAGCCCGGCTGATCAGGAACTGACTTTAGGTGCTTGTCCAGTGCCAGCTTGAAGACTGCCAGGGGTCTGTTGGTAATCCCCCTTATGTGTGCTGGGAGGCAGTTGAACAGTCTCGGGCCCCTGACACTTATTGTATGGTCTCTTAACGTGCTAGTGACACCCCTGCTTTTCATTGGGGGGATGGTGCATCGTCTGCCAAGTCTTTTGCTTTCGTAGTGAGTGATTTTCGTGTGCAAGTTCGGTACTAGTCCTCTAGGATTTTCCAGGTGTATATAATCATGTATCTCTCCCTCCTGCGTTCCAGGGAATACAGGTTTAGGAACCTCAAGCGCTCCCAGTAATTGAGGTGTTTTATCTCCGTTATGTGCGCCGTGAAGGTTCTCTGTACATTTTCTAGGTCGGCAATTTCACCTGCCTTGAAAGGTGCTGTTAGTGTGCAGCAATATTCAGCCTAGATAGAACAAGTGACCTGAAGAGTGTCATCATGGGCTTGGCCTCCCTAGTTTTGAAGGTTCTCATTATCCATCCTGTCATTTTTCTAGCAGATGCGATTGATACAATGTTATGGTCCTTGAAGGTGAGATCCTCCGACATAATCACTCCCAGGTCTTTGACGTTGTGTTTCGCTCTATTTTGTGGCCAGAATTTGTTTTGTACTCTGATGAAGATTTAATTTCCTCATGTTTACCATATCTGAGTAATTGAAATTTCTCATCGTTGAACTTCATATTGTTTTCTGCAGCCCACTGAAAGATTTGGTTGATGTCCGCCTGGAAGCCTTGCAGTGTCTGCAATGTAAGACACTGTCATGCAGATTTGGGTGTCATCTGCAAAGGAAGACACGGTGCTGTGGCTGACATCCTTGTCTATGTCGGATATGAGGATGAGGAACAAGATGGGAGCGAGTACTGTGCCTTGTGGAACAGAGCTTTTCACCGTAGCTGCCTCGGACTTTACTCTGTTGACGACTACTCTCTGTGTTCTGTTAGTGAGGAAATTATAGATCCATCGACCGACTTTTCCTGTTATTCCTTTAGCACGCATTTTGTGCGCTATTACGCCATGGTCACACTTGTCGAAGGCTTTTGCAAAGTCTGTATATATTACATCTGCATTCTTTTTGTCTTTCTAGTGCATTTAGGACCTTGTCGTAGTGATCCAATAGTTCAGACAGACAGGAGCGACCTGTTCTAAACCCATGTTACCCTGGGTTGTGTAACTGATGGGTTTCTAGATGGGTGGTGATCTTGCTTCTTAGGACCCTTTCAAAGATTTTTATGATATGGGATGTTAGTGCTACTGGTCTGTAGTTCTTTGCTGTTGCTTTACTGCCCCCTTTGTGCAGTGGGGCTATGTCTGTTGTTTTTAGTAACTGTGGGACGACCCCCGTGTCCATGCTCCCTCTCCATAGGATGGAAAAGGCTCGTGATAGGGGCTTCTTGCAGTTCTTGATGAACACAGAGTTCCATGAGTCTGGCCCTGGGGCAGAGTGCATGGGCATGTTATTTATCGCCTGTTCGAAGTCATTTGGCGTCAGGATAACATCGGATAAGCTTGTGTTAATCAAATTTTGTGGCTCTCTCATAAAAAATTAATTTTGATCTTCGACTCTCAGTCTGGTTAGCGGCTTGCTAAAAACTGAGTCATATTGGGACTTGAGTAGCTCACTCATTTCCTTGCTGTCATCTGTGTAGGACCCATCTTGTTTAAGTAGGGGCCCAATACTGGACGTTGTTCTCGATTTTGATTTGGCATAGGAGAAGAAATACTTTGGGTTTCTTTCGATTTCATTTATGGCTTTTAGTTCTTCCCGCGATTCCTGACTCCTAAAGGATTCTTTTAGCTTAAGTTCGATGCTTGCTATTTCTCTGACCAGTGTCTCCCTACGAATTTCAGATATATTGACCTCTTTTAGCCGCTCTGTTATTCTTTTCCGTCGCCTGTAAAGGGAGCGCCTGTCTCTTTCTATTTTACATCTACTCCTCCTTTTTCTTAGAGGAATAAGCCTTGTGTATACATCGAGTGCCACCGAGTTAATCTGTTCTAGGCATAAGTTGGGGTCTGTGTTGCTTAGTATATCTTCCCAGCTTATATCGGTTAGGACTTGGTTTACTTGGTCCCACTTTATGTTTTTGTTATTGAAGTTGAATTTGGTGAATGCTCCCTCGTGACTAGTCTCATTATGTCGGTCTGGGGCTCCACGCATACATGTCTGAACCTCAATTATGTTGTGATCTGAGTATATTGTTTTTGATATGGTGACATTTCTTATCAGATCATCATTGTTAGTGAAGATGAGGTCTAGTGTATTCTCCAGTCTAGTAGGCTCTATTATTTGCTGGTTTAAATTGAATTTTGTGCAGAGATTTAAAAGCTCGTGTGAGTGTGAGTTTTCATCAGAGCTGCCTCCTGGTGTTATTACTGCAACAATATTATTTGCTATATTCCTCCATTTTAGGTGCCTTAAGTTGAAATCTCCCAGGAGCAAGATGTTGGGTGCAGGAGCTGGAAGATTTTCCAGACAGTGGTCAATTTTTAACAGCTGTTCCTGGAATTGCTGGGATGTTGCATCCGTAGGCTTGTAGACTACCACAATGACTAGGTTTTGGTTCTCGACCTTTACTGCTAAAACTTCCACTACATCATTTGAGGCATTAAGCAGTTCTGTGCAAACAAGTGACTCTGCAATGTACAGGCCAACCCCCCCCCCCCCTTTTGCCTGTTCACTCTGTCACATCTGTATAGGTTGTAACCTGGGATCCATATTTCGTTGTCCAAGTGATCCTTTATGTGGGTCTCAGTGAAAGCCGCGAACATTGCCTTTGCCTCTGCAAGCAGTCCACGGATGAAAGGTATTTTGTTGTTTGTTGCTGGCTTTAGACCCTGTATATTTGCAAAGAAGAATGTTATCGGATGGTGATATTGTTGGTACTGTGGGGGGGATTTTTTTTCCGGCATTAGTATCTGTATCTGTTGGTTTGGAGTGGAGGCCATCGACTGTGGTTCCACTCCAGGAATGACTGGATTTGGTGTACGATTTCTGCCATTTCCTGCCAGTTTTTTGTCCTTTCTGGCACTAAAAAACCTCTCCCTCTTGAGTGGCTGTGGCTACCCAGGTTTTCCCATGGCCTGGATGTTTTGTATCTTTTTGTCCCCTTTAGATGGTATGCCTGGCAATTTAAGTTATAGCACAGTCTTTCCTGTACTGAAGAGGTACACAGTTCAGGGTGAAAAAGCTTACAGGAAGGGAGTTTGCATTTTCCTGTTGTCATATGGGCATGGCATTTTCTAGGGTGGTCATAGTTGCACGTCCCATCTGTTTTTCCAGATTTCCCATGCCAGCAGATACCAAGTGCATAGTATGTGCACAGGCTTGGTTTCCGTTTGCCTTGGATTTCTGTGACTGTATTCCCTGTTGGTGCATGTTTCCCTGTCTTACTTCTATCCTCCCTAGCACCAACAATGGAGCTCCCACCAGTTGTTTTTGGTAATATATCCTCACTATTGCTAGTGGAGTCCTCTTGTTTGCTATTTCCTGCGGTATTTCTAGTTTGCAATATTGGTTTTATCTTATCTTTGACTACACTTGTTTCCCTACTATGGCTCCTGTCCCCTATGAGGTCATTTATATGTATTCCTTCCTGCGTATAATTCCCGACTACCTGGACAAAATCTCCAGCTTCACCATTAGTGTCTCCCAGGACAGCATCTCCAGCTTCACCAT